CAGAACGCCATCATGGCCGCCTGTGGTGCGGCCTTCTTACTTTTCGGTTATGATCAAGGTGTGATCAGCGGCTTGCTGACTGGAGAAACGTTCGAGAGGCAGTTCCCCAAGATGTCGGTCGACCCGCAGCTTCAAGGCCTCGTCGTGGCGATCTACGAGATCGGTTGCTTCCTCGGTGCGCTCCTCACGTTTGTCATGGGCGAGCGTTTCGGTCGCCGCCGCATGATCATGTTCGGCATGGTCGTTCTGTCCATCGGCGCTGCGATCCAGACTGCCTCGTACGGCGTGCCCGAGCTGATCGTCGGCCGTATCATCGCCGGTATTGGAAACGGCTTCTCCACCGCCACCGTCCCGGTCTACCACTCGGAAACGTCCAAGGCTCAGGATCGTGGCCGTGCTGTCTGCATCGAGCTGGCTATCAACATCGCCGGTGTGTGTACCGCCTACTGGCTCGACTACGGCATGTCTTTTGTCAAGACGAGCACCGTCCAGTGGCGTTTTCCTCTCTCGTTCCAAATCTTCTTTGCGATCGTCACCTTTGTGATGATGGCATTCCTCCCCGAGTCGCCGCGATGGCTCGTGGCCCAAGGCCGCGAAGCAGAGGCTATGGACGTACTTCAAAGGCTCGACATTTCGACTCTGCCCAACTCCAAGAACGTCAACATGCTCAACGCCGAACAGGAGTTCCAGGTGATCAAGGAGACCATCGAGGAGGAGCGCAAACTCGCCAACGGCAAGCCTGTCTGGAAGGACATCCTCACCAACGGCAAGGAGCGTCACTTCCAGCGTGCCGTCCTCGGCTTTGGAATCCAGTTTATGCAGCAGGTAAGTGGAAAAAAAAAAAAAAAAAGCAGCGCGCCGCGCTGGGATTTTTTTTTTCTTTTTTCGCAGCGACCACTGACACCATCTCAATCCCTTCGCCATTCCGCGATCTTCTCATCGATCTTCTTGCTTCAAACGGCTAAAAGCTCTCAGGAATCAACCTCATCACCTACTATGCGCCTGTCATCTTCCAGAAGAGCGTGGGCCTGTCTAGGTCGACGTCTTTGCTGCTTGCCGGCTTCAACGGTCTGGCGTACTTCCTCTCGTCGCTTGTTCCCATCCCGTTGATCGAGCGAGTTGGTCGCCGCCCTCTTATGCTCATCGGTGTCGGTGGACAGGCCGCCTGCATGGCTATCCTCGCTGCCATGACGGTGACGATTGGCGACAAGACCAAGGGCATTGTCGCAACCGCGATGCTCTTCCTCTTCAACTTCTTCTTCTCGGTCGGTTCGCTCGCCATCCCGTGGCTCTACCCGGCAGAGATCAACAGCACCCGTACCCGAATGCACGGTGCAGCAATCGCAACAGGAAGTAACTGGTGCGTACAAACCCACACCTAAACCTTTCGATCCGCACTTCACTGACACCCTTTTTTTTTGCTTCGCGCGGGGACAGGATATTCACCTTCTTGGTGGTCATGATCACTCCCATTTGCGTCCAGAACCTCGGATACAAGACGTATGTCATGTTCGCCATCTTCAACTTCAGCTTCATCTTCCTCACGTACTTCTACTACCCGGAGACCAAGGGGCTTCAGCTCGAAGCAGTCAACGAGCTGTTCGAGGACACGCAGCGATGGGCGATCGGCCCGGTCAACACCAAAAAGTACATCGACGCCGTCAAGACGCACGTGGACGACTCGCCCGGCTACCTCGGCACGCCCCATGACGAAAAGTCGGACATCATGGAAAAGACCTCGAGCGCTTGATCCAAACTCTCTCTAGCTGCACTTCCTTCCTTTCTTTCTGTCGTCAAGGATGATTTCAATGCGAAACGATTGCTCGAATCTCAAAGTTGCGCCGTCGAGCATGACAGCATGAGGGGGTGCGGGGGGTTGGAGGCCGCGTTTTAATTACCTCATTTAAAGAAACTTTTTGCAAAAATCGATGGCGGCTTTGACCTCTCTCCACGGGCATGCACATAGGTTGCTGGAGCTTAGCGCTGGAAGGTAGAAACGAAATGGTGAGCCTTTGCCTTGCCATGCAAGACTTGTACGGCAGCGCGGGTGGTACGAGAAAGTCACGCCGAGGAGAGGGGGAAAAGCGGAGATTTAAAAAAAGGGATCGAGCAGCTTTTTTCGGAAAATGACGCGGGCCAAAATGGCCGCCAAAAATGACAGCCGAAAACTGACAGCGGTGTGGGGGGCTGTGCGACCTGACACCAACCAAATCCCGCCACGCTCCCGCAGAATAATCAGTGCGGAAAGTGCGGAATCCACTGTCCCGCTTTGGCTCTCCCGCACCCGCACCCGCACCCGCACCCACCAAACGAGTCCGCAACTGAAATGAAAGCAGAGCGGAGCGTTGCCGCAACACAGCACCCGCTCAGCTCGGCTCGGCTCGGCTCGCTTCCACTTTCGTTGGGCCGAGACTTGGACCCCCTCGTGTTGGTGTCTTGCTTCCACCTCTCTCTTCCCCTTCGATACCCCGCTCGCACGCCATGGTGGTGCACGCTCCCTCAACGTCGAGGACATGACTCGCGCAATCGACGCTGCCGCCATGTCGGACTCGGCGCCATCGTCGTCGTCGGACGAGGCGGACATCCACACGCTCGCCAACATCGCCACCGCTCGATGGCAGCACCACCACGCCAACTCCACCACCAACCACCGCCGTTCGCCAGACCTAGCGACCCGCAACGACGACTTGAGCGCGGTGGATGCAGACGCACCTTCGACTTCGGCCGCGGCGGCTCGATCGTCTGCACCGAGTCGACACGACCGTCGCGCATCCAAGGCGTGCCAGGCGTGTCGCGCGCGCAAGACTCGATGCGATGCACAGCGACCAAAGTGCTCCTACTGCCGCAAGCACGACATCGACTGCCACTACGTCGCAGGCGACCTCCGCAAGCAACGGCCCTCCAAGCGGAGGCGCTCCTCGATCCAGCCCGACCATATCCGGGACGAGTCGGTCCCACCACCACCACCGCCGCCGTCGCTGCCAGCCCATCGCGCCTCCCCGCAAGAACGTGTGGAGCACTCGTACGCTCCATCCATGGGCGCTGCCTATGTTGCCTCTTCTCATCCAGCCTCGTCGACCCGCGACGCCCACTCGGTCGCTTCGTCGCACTCGAGCGCATGGCCTGCCCTCCCCACCGCCTCGGTGGTCACCTCGGTGCCCGACGCAGCCACCGCAGAAGACGTCCAGTTCCTGCCCAACGATCTCATCGAGGCTCTTTCCGGCAAAGTGGCGTGGTTCGACGAGCTCGAACGTCAGTCGGCCACATCCATCACCGACGCCACGCGCATCCACGACACCACCACCGCGCACAACATCTGGTCCACCGCTTCCGACGTGGCTGCCTTTGACCCCATGCTCGCCGACCTGCTTCACCAAGCTGCACCGTCGGGCAGTGCAGCACCCGCGGGCAAGGACCGCATCATCCAGCTCCACTACTTTCGCTCCTTCAGCGGCGCCACCGCGGTCACGCAGGGGCTCAAGAAAATCAGCGTCCGCATCCGCGTCCCCGCCGAGCTCGAGTCGATGCTCATCGAGGCGCAGAATCGAACCAACTTGTTCGACCCAGCCGCTTCCGGGCTCGATCCACAGACGCTCAACCTGCATTCCTTGCTCGGCACATCGCGCTTCATGCCCTCGCCCAATCCCGCCGCCGCGTCCACCAGCGCCGCCGCCCATCGCACCGCTTTCCCCGCAATGCACGAGGCCCATACGCCCTCGGCGCTCTCTTCCGCAGCGTATGCAGAGGACCTTCCCGAGGCGCCTCTGCGCGATCTACTCATTTCTCGCTTCTTCCTACGTCTCGCAGATCACTTTCCCTTTCTCAGCCGCTATACCCTCGAGGCGCAGCTCGCCCGTGGCAGCCAGGTGAATCCGGCGCTCATCAACGCCATGTGTGCCCTTGCCGCGCGATTCGTCGAGCCGTACGAAACCACGATGCTGTCACCCGCTGCCGCTGGAACAGGCGGTTCGGTCAATGCTTCCAACGACCCCGACGCCACCGCCGACTCGGTGTTCGGTTCGGCCAAACCGCACTCGCGCGGGCTGCGCTTTGCCGAGCGGGCCAAATCGTACATGATGTCGTCCATCACGCTCCCGTCGGTCACCACGGTGGCAACGCTGGTGCTGCTGGCGTGGCACGAGTTTGGCGTCAACTCGGACTCGGGCTTGTGGATGTTTGCCGGCATGGCCATCCGCATGTCCATCGACCTCGGCCTGCATCGTCGAGCCAAGAACAACTGGTTCACCGCCGCACCACGTGCAGACGCAAACGACCTCATCCAGCCCCAACCGCTCTTCTGGTGCGTCTTCATCCTCGACCGCACGCTCTCCATCGGCACAGGTCGGCCCACCAGCCTCAAGGACCAGGAAATCACACTCGACTATCCACGCACCGTCCTGCCCATCCACCCCGCGCGCAAACAGACCTCCAATGCTGCAAGCGAGTCTGCGGGCTCGAGTCGTAGCTCCTCGACTCGGCCGTCGGTGTTTGGCCACCTCACGCGGCTCATGCAAAAGGCAGGTGCGCTCGCCGAGATCGCCAACAACCTCGGCGAGGACGACGATCCACACCCGCTCGAAGAGCTGGACAAGCTCGAGGCGGACATGATTGGCGACTACGACGCGCTGCCCGCAGGCCTCATGCTGGGCGAAGATCAGCTGCGCACCTCGAGCGAGCCGCGCTGCTTGCTCTCGCTGCATCTGTGGTTCCACCTGCTGCTCATGCTCATGAACCGCCTGCCGCTCAGTCGGTTGCGAGCCAAGCCCGTGGCGTCCGACGAGAGCCGCGAGATCCTGCGCCATGCATCGCAGCAGATCCGCAACGCCGTGCTGTACGCCAACGCGGTGGATCCCATGATCCACCTCGGCTGTCCCTTTACCAACCAGGCATTTTGCCTCGCCGGCGGTTTCGAAGCCAGCATGGCGGCGACGCTGCAGAGGCACGAACAGCTTGCTTCGAGCACCGCCGCAGGCAGACGGAGCGGTAACAGCAGTGGTAGGGCTAGTCCTGCGCCTCGATCGCTCGCCACGCTGCGCGCGCGGTTGCGCGACGATGGAGGCAAGGGTGCCAGGTCGTTGTTCGTCCAGTCGCACCTCGAGGCGTACCAGCGCTGCGTCGATGCGCTCGACAAGCTCACCGAGACGTGGCTCGGCGTCACATGGATCGCCAATGCACTCAAGGCGCGCAAGACCGACGAGACACCCGACGCCGCGCTCAACGGCAGCGCCAGTGCGGGCGGATCAGCTGCCGGAGAGACGATGCTCTCGCTCTCGGAACTCAAAGTGCTACTGCGCCTGGCCGCTTCCACCGTCTCTTCGACCGAGCAGCCCATGTCGATCCTCGAGGACTCGTCCAACGGCGCTTCGGGTTCGACCTCGGGCTCGTCCAACTCGGCGCCCAGCTGGACCTCGCCGCCTACGCAGCCGGGCAAAACGACCGCAGCCGCCGCAGCCCCGACGCACGCCGACCATCATCTGCGCCCACCACCCTCGCGTCCGTCTAGCATAACCCCGTGGGCTTCCCACGCAGCGTCCTTCGAGCATAGCGTCGGCGCGACCTCGATGCCGCAGCACGGTGCGCTGGTCGAGATCAGCGACATTAGCCATCCCGACGACCTCTCGCACTTTCTCCCCTTTCTCTCGCGTCCGCTTCCCTAATCCACCCGCACAACTCTGACCGGCACATGCAATGGGACTTTACATCGATACGATTGCACAAAACTAGGATGGCGGGATCAGTGGCCTTTGGCGTAGCCCAGGAGGAGTTCGGCAAACTCTCCGATGCGCGGGAGCACGAGCGTGCCGTCGCGCGTGAGCGATTGGGCGTGTTGGTGGATCTTGGCAGCGATGTTGGTGGGATGGAATCCAAACATCTCGAACAGCTGTTGCTGTGGGCCACTGTGGCCGAAGGTATGCATGGAAAGCGAAGCAGCCGTGTACCTTGGCCAAGGCAGTGAAGCCCATGCTTCCACGGCGACCGAGAGCTGCGTAGGCGGGATCACCGAGTGGCGGTACTCGGCAGGCTGTGCGTCGAACAGCGTCATACACGGCATGGACACTACCTTGACCGTGTACGACTGCTGAAGCTCGCCCGATGCAAGGATGTTGGCCGCTTCGATCGCCACCGAAACTTCGCTTCCCGTGGCCACGAGGGTGAGCGGCGTTGCATCTGCACCCGCCTCGGCCGTGTGCACAATGTAACCTCCACGACGCACCGCCTCTCGGTCCGAGCCGGGGAGCAGAGGCAGCGCGTGCCTGCTGAGCGACAAGATCGACGGCGTCTTGTTGGCTTTCAGCGCCAAGGTCCAGGCGCCCATGACCTCCTCCGCATCAGCGGGGCGCATAAACTGCACATTCGGCACTGCCCTAAAGAACGACGCGAGTCCGACCGGCTGGTGCGTAGGACCGTCCTCTCCGATTCCAATCGAGTCGTGCGTGGCAATACCGATCAACCTCAGCTTCTGCAGCGCCGACATGCGGATGGCGGGTGCGGCGTAGAGGAAGAACATGAAGAACGTCGAGATGACGGGCACAAAGCCATGGCTCGAGTAGCCTGCCAGTCCGTTGGCGATCGCCGCCATGGCATGTTCGCGAATGCCGTATCGAATCTGACGCCCTGCGAAGCTGCCTCCGAGCTGCGGCTTGTTCGGGCTCTGGAACTCGACCATGTCCTTCCAGCTGACGAAGGTCGAATCGAGCAGATCGGCGCTGCCCACCATGAACTGCGGGAAGCGAGGTGCCAAGGCCTGCACTACAATGCCCGAAGCCTTGCGCGTAGGCATGGCGCCACTCGGCAACTCGCTCTTGGCCGGCAGCATCTGCGTCCACTCCTTGGGCAGCCCACCCACGAGCTCGTCGCAATCGCCGTGGGTGTTGCGCTGTTGGAATTGGCGCGCCAGCTCAGGGAAGGCCTTGGTGTACTCTGCAAACGTAGCATTCCACCTCGCCTGCAGCTGGTCGCCCTTGGTCTTGGCGCTGGCAAACGTGTCGTACGCCTGCTTGGAGAGGTGGAACTTTTGCTCCTCGGCGTAGCCAAACGTGCGCTTGACGTGCTTGACATCCTCGTCGCCCAGTGCAGCTCCATGAACAGGGTTGGTGTCCTGCTTCTTGGATCCGTATCCGATGATCGTCGTGATCTGCACACACGTCGGCTTGCCGTTGCGCAGGTTTTTGGCCTGCTCGAGCGCATTGACGATGGCCACGACGTCGGTGGATCCGTTTTCGACCTGGAGGACGTTCCAGCCCATACTCTTGAGTTTGGCAGGGTGGTCTTCGGAGGCATAGCTGTCGATGTTGCCGTCGACGGTGATCTTGTTGCAGTCGTACACAAGCACCAAATTGTCGAGACCGAGGTGACCTGCGAGCGAAAGCGCCTCTACACCCACGCCCTCTGCGATGCATCCATCCCCAGTAAAGCACCACACCGTGTTGGCCACGATCTCCAAGCCCGGCTTGTTGTAGTGGGCGGCCATGTGCTTGGACCCCATGGCGAGACCGACGGCATTGGCGATGCCCTGGCCAAGAGGGCCCGTGGTGACCTCGATTCCGTTCTCGGGGTCGATCTCGGGATGTCCCGCTGCGAGGCTGGTCTCGAAATCGGTCGAGTGGTATCGCTTGAGCATATCCATGGTCCATGCCTTGTATCCGGTGAGATGGAGGTAGATGTACTGGAGCAGACACGCATGACCCGCCGAGAGCACGAAACGGTCTCGATCGGCCCAGGTTCCATCGGCCGGGTTGAAGCGCATCACGCTACCCCAGAGCGCCATGCCGATCGAAGCTGCTCCCATGGCAGTGCCCGGGTGGCCGCCGTTGAACTGCTGGACGAGGTCGGCGGCAAGACATCGGATCTCGCGCAGCACCGCCTCGTTCTGCTCGACCGTGTTGGCGGCAATGCCCGCGGCGGCGAGCTGCTTGGTGGGCACCGGCGCGGAGGCTGGCTCGGTGGAGCCGGAAAGAGTTGCTGCAGGCGCCATTGTTACGAAGACTAGGGTGGTGGAAGTGTTCGCCTGGGTCTTTGATCTGCAGAGTGGCGCTGATCGAGCTCAGCACCGCCTTTTATCGTGTTGCGACTTGATGCGGGGAACGCTGCACTTCTCGAAAGTACGGGGAGCGTGCGATCGAGTGTCGGTGGGAGAGGTGGAGTGCAAGCCTTGCTTGATGGGACGGAGCGGAGTGTGGGGGTGGTCAGGATTATAAAGCGCCGAGCCTCTCCCACCCCAAGGGAGCGGGAGCTGCCGCACGCAGGCTCATGTTGCGGTCCGAGGAGGCGGCGTCCAAGCTTGGAGCGGATGCGAAAGGGTGGCGGCGGGGCGTGGAGTGGGCAAGCCGGCTGCGGCCTCGGACGATTGTGGGAGAGGAGTGTGCAGCGTGGTCCTGGGCGCGGATCGTTTGCAAAGCCGGTCTTCCGCACTCTGCTCGGCAGCGGCGAAAGCAGCGGGGAAAGCAACAGCAACAGCAGCAGCAGCAGTGGACTCACTCGCCAAAACATGATCCCCGACCTCAAAATCTCCGCCCAGCCGCCACCCACTTTCAGGGTCCTATCGGAAAATGACCCCTTCACCATCACTACTTTCATCCCGAGCTTTCCGCCCGGCCTACTTCGGGCATCCCTCATCAATTGCTACTCTGCAACAAGGCGTACCGACGACACGAGACCGAGCTGCATTCACCAAATTGCGACGTTGGATGTTGCTGTCCTTCACGCCAAGAGGATGCGTCACCGACATGTGGGAGGCGAGCATTGCAGCGAGGGGGAAGAAATGTGGGGGGAAAGCGGAGGCGGGTTGGACGACCTTCCCCCACACTCATCCTCGCGGGGTGGCGGAAGATGGATGTCGCCGTCTCTGTCCCACCTCCTTCCTCGCCTTTGGACCCCGCCAGCCGGCTATCCGACGGCAAATATGGCCGACGCCCGACGACGGAAAATGAATTCTTTGGCTCGGCGCCATCGGTACAAAGTATTTTCCGACGCTGCGGTTTTCCGAAGCATGGACCACACATTGCCACATTGCCGCATTGCCACCGAGACGGCGAATCCTCCGCACCGGCGAACATTGATCCCTTGCTTGGTGGTTCAGCTTGGCGACACTGCTTATCGCTCGACCGGCGTGGGTGAGCAATCTTCAGCCGCCGCCTACGAGAGAAGCCATAATATCCACGCTGCATCTTCACCCTCCCTTCACACCATCTTCAAGATTCCCTCGCTCCTCTACACGCAAGCTTTGACATCGGATCCTTCCAGCGACACTCAACATGGTCCCTATGCCTACAGCGACTACAGTCCCAGCGGTGGACGGATTGGTCTCCGTGCAGGAGGCGGTCATGGCCGCGGCGCAGGGCGAGCGCAGCGCAGTCGAAGGCGATGGCCTCTTTACGCTCAAGAACACCACGAGCATCGGTAAGTCCTCACCTCCCTCGTCTGGATAGCTCCATCAGGCACAACATGCTGACCGTCCCCTTTCTGAATCTGCAGTGACGGGAGGAGCTCGTGGTATCGGGCTGACGCTGGCAGCTGCGTTGCTCGAGGCCGGCTCACACGTTGTATGCATGGACCTTCTCGACGAGCCCACCACGGCTGCCGACTGGCTCACGTTCAAGGCGCGCGCCAAAGAGCTCAAGCTCAGCGCATCCTACGTGCAGGCCGACATCACCAACGCGCCCGCCGTCAACGAGATCATCACCGAGATCGCCCAGCTCGCCGCCGATGCCGCCCGACCCTTCACCACGGTCGTCCACGCCGCCGGAGTCCAGAAGCAGGGCCCCGTGCTTGACTTTGACCCAGCCCACTTTGACTGGGTCCTTCGCGTCAATGTCACAGGCACTTTCATCGTCACGCAGGCCGCAGCTCGCGCGATGAAGCACCACGCCACGGGCGGAAGCATCATCCTGATCGCCTCCATGTCCGGCTACGTCTCCAACCGCGGCCTCTTCGGCACGGCGTACAACTCGTCCAAGGCAGCCGTGCATCAGCTGTGCCGATGCGCCGCCGTCGAGCTGGCCGAACACAAGATCCGCGTCAACACCATCAGCCCCGGCTACGTCAACACACAGATGGTCGAACAGCTGCTCGCCAAGGAGCCGCATCTGCTCGAGCAGTGGACCAACGACAACCCCATGCACCGCATCGGCGAGCCAAGCGAGTTCAAGGGCGCCGCTGTCTTCCTCGCCAGCGAAGCGAGCAGCTTCATGACGGGAAGCGACATGCGTATCGATGGCGGCGTAAGTCCACCCCCCTTCTCTCCCTCTCACACTGGCCGAGCAGAATACTGACTCCTTTGCTCTTTCAATTACAGCACTGCGCTTGGTAGACATCTCGGCTGCATCCCAACTTTCTCGCCTCGAAAGGGTCTCCCCCTCACACAATGGTCACCATGTTTCATCTGCAATTGTCATCGACTCGTATTCATTCCGCATCTGCGCTTGGACACGCGGCGGTGGTGAGGCTGCGTGCGAATTCGAGCTGGGCGATGCGGTGGGGCTGTTCGACGACGGCGAGTGCCATACCGGTCTGCATGTGCACCAGCACATGGCAGTGCATTGCCCACACACCCGGATTGTCCAACGTCCACCTGAGCACCGCAAACCCGCGCCGCGGCACCGACACCGTGTCGCGATACACCGCCTCGGCCTCGTTGAACCACTGCGCATCATCGTTGGGTGCGTGAGGCTGGTAGGCGCCCACGCCCACGCTCGACTCGGATAGCCCAACCACGTGGAAACGGTGGCCGTGCAGGTGGAACGGATGCGCCGCCTCGTCCGCATTGTTGATCACCAGCTCGAGCGTCACTGGCTCCGACGTGCCTGGCACCAGCACCGTCTGACGCCTGGGATCAAACACACCAGCACCATCGGTGGCGTTGGACTGCAGCGCAAACGAGTGCAGGAGGGGTGTATGAGGCGCCTTCCACTGCGTTCGATTGATCCAAGATACGGGAACAAGACCGTTGCGATCGAGTTTGGGCATGGTTACGGTGACAGCCGCGCGCACATCGCCGTTCTCGACATCGACTCTGGGTGTCAAGGGAGCATCAGCACGATCACCCACGCGGAGCGCGCGCAGGAGCGAGGCAGGCTCGTCGTGGCACGGCAACTCTCCGCCTCGCAGCGGCCATGGCTGCGTCTGCGGCAGGCTTCGACCAGATTCAAGCTGGATGCCGCGTCGCCGCTGTCCATCGCGAAGATCGAGTTCGGACGATGACCACACTGCATGTGCCGCGGCATCTGGAGCCTCGTCAACGTATCGCACGATCGCCTTGGCTTCGTTGGCGAGATACGGATTGGGCATGTTGAAGCATTCGTGATGCATCTCGGTGCGCAGCCAGAACGGACCGCCCAACTCACCCGTCTGGTCAGCACGCACGAGCACCGAGTACCTCTGTCCCGGGGCGACCGACAGCCGCGTGGTGTTGTAAGGCACAATGAGCGAGCCATCCGCCTCGATTACCGTGAGAGCATGGCGGTCGATGGAGAATGTCTGATGGCCGACTGATCCGACATTGACGATGCGCACACGGTGCGTCTTGTTCCGTTGCAGCGCGATCGCTGGATAGTCGGGCCTGGTGGTGCACTCCTGCTTGCTCGAGTCGAGAAGCTTCGCACAGTCGAACCGGCCCTGACCATTGATGAGGATGTTGTCCGGCGTGGGCTCAAACCCGAGCGAGTGCCGCGAGACGAACCACGAGATCTGGTCGATGCCCGGCGCAAAGTAGTGGTCACCCAGCGTGACGACCTGCTCATGGTCCCAGCCAAGAGGTGCTGCACCAGTTGCAGCAGCATGGGCAGCAAGACGTTGATGCTCGCTCTGTCGCGGATCTAGCACGGTGAATGTGCCCCAGAGGCCATCTGCGCGCGACATGCCGGCATGAGAGTGCCACCAATGCGTCCCCACATCTTCGGGCAGGACGCGGAGGCGGTAGGTGTGGGATTCACCAGGCAGCGTAGCACACGAGGTGAATCCAGGAGCGCCGTCCTGTTCTGGGCTGCCTCGCATGGACAGACCATGCCAGTGGATGGCAATGCGCTCGTCGCTGCCTGGCGGGTAGTGTCCATCCACCTTGGTCGAGAAGCGAGAGCGCGCACGCTGGTCCCACTCTGCAAACGACGACGAGTCGTTGTGAGCGAGTTGGTTCCGGACGTGCACGACTAGAGTATCGCCGACGTTGGCTTGGATGTGAGGGCCCGGAAACCGGCCGTTGACGAGGATCATGGGCCGAGTGACGCCGTCGGGGGCAATGTCGGCGCGGCTGATGTTCCACTCGTAGTAGCGCGTGCGAGGTGCGTCTCGACCATCATTGTCGCCGATCGCTGATGCATCGTGGGTGTATCGCCACCAGGGGAGTGTCGGTGCATCTGGATGGCTGCTACGCAACAATGCAGACCATTGCAAGGAGCCCCAGGCGAGGAGAACCAAGGCTAGCGTCGCAAAGCCGATCAGGCGGACGCGCTTGATTGGATTGTTGGACGTCATGTCTGCGCGCAAGCTTGCATCATGATGGTAAGGAGCTCACAGATGGCGGAGTAGCTCTCGCCACCGGCACATGGTGTTTGTCATCCGTGCGACACCTCCTTCGCTCTTGGTAGGAAGAGATGGGCCGGAGAAATCGCCGAGGGTGGCAAGGTGCAGCACGTTCCGGCACCGGGCCTCGCGACGCAGCCTCTGTCGCTGTTGTCACTCTTGCCAGTCGTCCAAGCGAAAGCCGAGAGCGTGCAGAAGAGAGACAGAGCTCTCGTCGCGGCGGCTGTCGAGATGGATTTGGTAGGCGAGCTGTAGCCGACCCACACGTTCCTTCCAAAAGACGCCTAGTTCATATGCAAGCTGCACCTCGCTTGGCGCCCACCACGCCAGGACCGCTCGCTGGACCCTGAATCGTTGCAACTTGACAACCAGACTCCGCCGGCCCCACTTGCCGCTGCTGTGGTGTCGACTGGGCCCGCATGGGCAGCTCGACAACGTGCTACCCTCTTGGACCTCCGTGCAGGTGTCCGTCCTCGCCTGTTCTCGGCTCTCAACTTCATACCGGTACTGGTACCGGCACCGCGACGTCCGCGTCCACGTTCCGCCGGCAATCTCGCTCCGTCTGGCTCGCACTCGCCCTGGCCGCCTGCCTGGACCCTAATGTAGACCCCGTCGATCTGCGATTTCCGCTTGTTCAAGCGACCATACTCTTCAGCCAAGCGAGCAGTCCCTTATAAGCAGCACTTTGCCCATCAATATGTTCCGCCCACTCGGTGCGACCAACGCGTGCAATCCGCAACAACACCAACCAGCATGGTTTGGCTCAACAAAGCCTCGTGGATCGCGCTCCTGGCCTTTGTCGCCGCCGAGCTGCCCACCCGAGCAGCAGCTGCGGCAAAGGACATCACCCAGATCGAGCACATTGTCCTGTTCATGCAGGAGAACAGGGCGTTTGACCACTACTTTGGAACCGCCGCCGGCGTGCGAGGCTTCGGCGATCCCAACGTGGTCATCAGCAAAGACACCAGCAAGGCGTCGTTCTACAATCCGGTGTCGGTGGCCACCACGGAGAAGGGCTCACCTGCGCCTCCTGCTGGCGTGGACCACCTGCTTCCTTGGTACATCAACCACCAGGGCGGCGACTCGAATGATCGATGGCAGTGCTCCGTCGCCGGCTCCAACGGATGGGAGCAGAACCACGCGGCGTACGACAATGGCAACGTCAACAAGTGGGCGACCAAGAACACGCCCTACTCGCTCGCCTACTACAAGCGGGAGGACATTCCGCTGCACTTTGCCGTTGCCGAGGGCTGGACCATGGGGGACAACTACCACGAGTCGGTCATCACCTCGACGAGTCCGAACCGCATCTCGTGGCTTGCGGGGACCATGGGCATCGACCAGGCGCACGATGGACTCGGTGGACCGGCCATCGACAACTCCGAGACGCCCGGGTGCGAGACGGCCGACGACGGCTCGACCTACTCGTGCTATCCGTACAAGTGGAAGACGCTGCCCGAGTACCTCGAGCAGGTCGGCATCTCGTGGCAGCTGTACCAGGACACGGACAACTTTGACGACAATCCGCTCGCGTGGTTCCACCAGTTCCAGCAGGCGCCCAACAACTCGGCGCTCGCTCAGAAGGGTATGGCGTTCAAGGGGCTCGAGCGCTTCTACTCGGATGCGGAGCAGGGCAAGCTGCCGCAGGTGAGCTTCATCATTGGTCCGACCGAGCTGAGCGAGCATCCTCCTTATGGCCCGCTCGACGGTGCCTGGCTGCAGAAGAAGGTCATCGATGCCGTCACCAAGGGCAAAAAGTACGACTCGACTGCGCTCATCATTTCGTACGACGAGACGGGCGGCTGGGCGGACCATGTGATGGCCGAGTTTCCTTCCATCTCGGAGGCGCCCAACGAGTGGATCGTCGACCCTTACAACAAGACGCTGGGTCAGCAGCCCGTGGGCCCCGGCTTCCGCGTGCCCTTCTACGTGGTCTCGCCGTTCACACGAAGCGGCGGCGTCTTCTCGGAGCCAGCAGCGCACGAGTCGCAGATCCTCTTCGTTGAGCAGTGGGCCAAGGCGATCGGCAAGCCGTTTGTGCAGGAAAGCATGACGGCCTGGCGTCGTCAGAGCCTCTCGGACCTCACAGCGATGTTCGACTTTTCGCGCGCGGACACTTCGGTGCCCGAGCTGCCCGAGGTGCGCCAGGCGACGCAGGACCGCAACGGCCAGTACAACGGCGCCTCGACGTGCAAGGCAACGTACGGCGGTGGCCAGCCCGACGTGCCGTACACGCAGAAGGACGACGATGCCTGGGTGCTCGAGCACGGCTTCAAGCGCGTCCGCGGCACCCCTTCCGAGGGCCACTTCTATGTGTTTGAGAAGACCAACCATGCACTCGCCTTTGATGCCAAATCCGGCTCGCTTTCGGTCTCCAACGCCACAGCTGACCACGCCGATGCTACACAGCGCTTTATCGTCCACGCCGTTGGTACAAGAACCAAGAACAATGCTTTCTACCTCAGCCCCGCCGCCCAGCCGAGCCAGTATGTCGACGCCAACGGCAGGCTCACCACCGACCGATCCAAGGCGACGCAGTTTGCGTTCGAGGACGCCCGGAACGGCAAAGGCTACAACGTCAGCGCCAAAGGAGCCAAGCTGCCGGGCGGGTTCAACGGCTCGGGCGTCAGCATCTATTCCGTCACGTATTGAGCGTCGTCGCTCCCTGTAGCTCCCGCTCGTCCATCTATATTTTCATGCTGGAAGAACCCTTCTTTTGGCTGCGCGCAAGAAGAGCTTGAGCAAAGCCCGAGACCGCCGACTTCCGATATCCGTACGATGAGCTGCAGTCGCATGGCAACCGTGCTTGGCAACCGCGGCGGTTCTTGTGCAACAGCCGAGATTGCGTTCCCCCCACGTGTAGAGCCACGCCGAAGTTGTGCCGAGACGATCAAGGCTCGCCGGCTCACCTAGCCGGACCATTTCATCCAAGCCGACTCGAGCCTTGCCATGAATTCGCTCACCAACATCTCGTGCACCATGGATCTTTCTTCCCTTTCGGGCTCTGCCCCTGCTGACCGCACCGTCATTGTCGGTGCGGGCATCGTCGGGTCGTGCCTGGCGCACATCCTCGCCACTCACCCTGGCAAAGATCGCATCATCCTGATCGATCGGGACGTCGAGGGGCTGCCCGGATCGACCGGCCATGCGCCCGGCTACGTTGGGCAGTACAACCAGATCCCTGCGCTCACCGAGCTCGCCGTACGGACCGTTCGCAAGTACCTCGACATCCCTGGCGGATTCAGCACTGTCGGAGGGCTCGAGATCGCTCAGTCGGACCAGGGCGCTCAGTCGTTGGAGCGACGATGCAGCGCAGCCAAAAGGGCCGGACTGAGCGCCGAGATGATCAGCACGCACACGGCGGTCGAGAAAGCACCGTTCTTCGTTCGCAAGCCAGAGGGTGGTGAGGGAAGGGGAGCGCTGTGGTTTCACAACGACGGCACTGCGAATGCGCAGCACATTGCACGGCACGAGCAGCAGCAGGCTCGCTCCAAAGGCGCCCTCCTGCTCAACGCCGACATATGCGCAATCGAAGCGAACAACACTCTGCACACACTGGTGTTGAAGGACGGCAGCAGGATCGAAGCTGGCAAGGTGGTGGTGTGTGCGGGCATCTGGACGCGCAACTTGCTCGGCTCACTGCCTGTGGTGCCAGTAGCGCACCCGTATGCCTACACCGCTTCACGCGGGCCTCGGTCGCTCAAGACGCCCTTCGTGCGGTATCCAGAGGCCCACGTATATGTGCGCGACCACGGCACACAGGACGGTATCGGTTCGTACGCACACGATCCCATCGCCGTCGCCAACGCGAGCCTCACCTCGTCGGCCTACGGCGCCTGGCACACCGCGTTTGAACCCGTGCTCCAAGACGCCCTCTCGCTCCTGCCCGACCAAACAGCCCGCCAGTTCGAGGTGAGCCCCAAGAGCGCAGGTGCCGAGCGCGTCTTCAACGGCATCTTTAGCGTGACGCCCGACGGCATGCCGCTTGTAGGCCAAGTGGGCCAAGGCCTGTTCGTAGCGTCGGCCGTGTGGGTGACACATGCCGCTGCATCGGCTCAGCTCGTAGCTGATATCCTCACCGGGCAGCTGAAGCAAGAGGACCAGTGGTTGGCGAAAGAACTCGATCCGCTCCGATTCACCG